TTCATGAGGCATCATAAGTATTGAAGTATAAGACACCTACACAACAAGCAAAGAGTAAAATGCCTATGTGGCAAAAGGCCATTCACAAATAATGTTTAATTTATGACTCATCTTATGTTAAAATGCATTTCATAAGTATTTTTTATAAGGATAAAGCTGCCAATAGGTCGTACCTAACATGAATAGTAGTTTAGGTTATTCTCTCAACCGCCATATCTTGATCAGATAGTTGAAAATGCATGTTAGTATTTTTATTTTATTTTTTCTACAAATCAGGTTATGCTCAAATTTTTGGTGTGTATACTTGATACTATCATGCACCATATAAAAATATAAAAAATATTTTCAAAAATTTAAATGACAAAATTACCCCCTTCATTTTTAGGGGTAATTTGGTCATTTTAAACTTGGGAAAATATTTGTTTTATATTTTTTCTTGCAATCCCTTTTATGTAGTAGTGTAGTACACATCCAAAATTTCATCTCGATTGGATTAGTAGAAAAAATATGAAGCTTCGAATGATAACATACATTTTTAACCATCCGATCAAGATCAGACGGCTGGGAGCATAACCTAAACTACTATTTATTTTAGGTGAAAACCTATTGTTAGCTTTTCCGTTCTATAAATAGATTATCATTTCGCTTTATTGGCAAACAAGCCTCTATCATGTGGGGTTTTCTCATTAGATTTCTTCTTCCAGAAAATAACACATCCATGAGAGCCATTAAATCTCTTGGATGCAACTGTTGGATCATGGAAAAAACATAGCTAGGATTTAAAGGTGAATTATTGAATTGCAATCAAAGGATGCATCTTAATGGAATCGAGAAAAGGATCCCCAATGAACAAGTGTACTTCCCTTAATTCTTCTTCCCCGTTAATTTGTGGCGTGATCAACAATATGGATCTACCTTTAGATAGTCATTAAATAACTATTATTATTTTTTTAAGGAAAAGATCTCCATAAACTGTTGATAAATGGCTAATGGTAATGTGAAAGCCCTCTAGAATAAACATGGAGTGCATTCTGTTGCCTAGGGAAGTTCAAAAACATTATTCCCTGACTCCAGTCTTTTCAAGCATGTATTTATTGCCTTCTCATGGCTATGAGATAATGAGATGTGATGGATGCAAATTTATCAAGAAAGGGAATAAATGGATGGGCACAAGTAGATGATACACCCATCCTGGAAATCTATACACTCCTCTGGAGAGTAGAAGATAAAACAAGCACTTCATTGGATAAACCATTCTTTGGAACGATATATCACACAAAACTCCAACATGCACAGAAAATAGTTATATGCAAGACTTTAATCAATCACAATCTGTATAAGCACTTCTGCTAACAAATAAATAATTATTTGAAATGAGACTCCATACCTCTCCAACACCCACACGAAATATTAGAGGCCTTCCACGGTCATAGCTACTATCAAACACTTGCCCATTCTCTAACTTTCCTACATAATGTGCCTATTCAACAAGACAGTACTCAGTTAAGAACAGTCAACTCCTCAAGTAAAGCATAGCAATACTTCACACCAACATATTGAACATTAATCAATAAACACGACATCAATCACATTACATTGCACTGATCAATCCATCTAGTCCCATCAATAATTACTAGTAAAAAAGACTAACAACGATGGACATAGTAGGAGTACATAGATATAATTTGACAAAATGAAATATCAATTGTCTATTGAGTTAAACAGTTTACACATCATGCCAGAATTGGGAGAAGGAAATCCACCAAATGAGAGTTACTTCAATAACTGTATATGCCAAACAAAAGTATTGAACAATGAGGGGCTAAGAGGACCATCTTCTTCCAATGCACATAATTATCATGCTGAGTTTGCATGAAAAGGGCTATAATTTACAGTGAACTATTTTACAACAACACGATTAGAAATTGCGGCATGACTTCAAATTTCGAGTTAGCCAAACCCTGCACCTCTTTCCGAGACAATTCCCTCTAAGTACATTGAAGAAAAAGTAAAGAGTCCCCGCATTATTATTTTGATAAATAAGTTTTCCAGTGTTGCTAAATACCAATATATAACCTGCAAACATATTCATCAACGAAAGAGATTTGCAAGTAACTTGACGACCCACACATTAATATCATCAATTCAACAAGGTATAGTTCTAACTTGAGGAAGTAAAAGTCCTTCGATATCCAGATATAGAATAACCAGACACACAAAGTTTTGCCTTCTCCAATAATTGAAACGATTACTTCAACTTATAATGCAAATGACTCTTTTTCCAATTTATAGCTATTACCACACCATCTTATGGAACTCTATTGAAATGAGTAGTAAGAGAACACCAAGAATAATTTCGTTCAGCAACATACACTGCAACTAAACACTAAATTACCTATAAAAATCTCAAAACAATTAAAAGGGTGGTTGTTCCAATAAATGAATCGGGAAAGAGGGCTCTAGGTATAGTTGTTAAGTTAATTTCCCAGATAATAAGAATCCAGAATTTCATTGAATTTGGATTGTAAACTTGTATTAATTGTATATTTATTGCAAATTTCTATTTATCAATCACAATTTCCAAATAGAAAGAAAAGTAATAACGCCTTAGACATAGAGTGTTGCCCCAAATTCATGTCACAATAAGTCAAGACTAGAATTTCCAAACTCTATCCACATGAGACAGGAAATTTTAAAAATTTCAAGAGATTATGGAAATTTTGGAAACGATTAATCTGAAAAAGGGAAAATACCATAAAACTAATATTCAACATTAATTCTGAAAAGATAAATATGTAACAACAAACTCCTGAAGAACGACAAATATGAAGAAAAGGAAGAAAAACTAAAACCAGAGGAAGAGACAATGCAAAAACCAGAAAATAACAAGTTCATGACAGAGATGGATAGTAAGAGAAAACAGAGAGCACCTTTATCCTCTGCCCTTGAGAAGCCGGGCGCCATAACCCAGCAATTTATCACAGTAAGAGAGACCCGAAGGGGTGGTGATAAGAGAACATGAAGCTTCCTCAGCCATGGCTTCCTCCTTGTTCCAGAGGCCCTGAAATACTTGAGAGAATAGGTTATAGAAACCGAAGCTAAGAGCGTCTCTTCTCCTCAGCTCATCGGCCATTTTCACTGCCTGAACTCCAACCAGTGATGCCCTGTTTCTTGCTTTGGGCTCTCCTGGCCTTTGGCCGCCATTGCTGAACCCTAGACGAGCAACTCCAGTCCCCAAAGCCAATGCCTGCATCTCTCTCCTGCCTCGGAGCCAAAGCAAAAGGGGAACGGATATCAAAGGTTTGGACCGTTCATATTTGAAATACAGAATAGGGAAGCTGTATTGTGAGCCCTGTATCTTGCGCACACTATGTCAGATGGAGACATGACCCTGAATCATAGATTTTCCACGGTGATGATATGGTCGGTGCACTGCAAATATTACAAATAAGTGTTCAGACTATTCTCGAACCATGGCCCTTCAACCCATTGAATCAGCGGTGATGACCGTTTAACCCATAATTAGTGTTTTACTTTTGGTACAAAGAAGTCACAATTAATCTTTAGACCTTTAGATTATACTCCTCTATATTATGTGAGTACATCGCTTCTTTGGTCCGATGATTAAAGCATTCCCGTGCCGCCCCCTTGGCAATTATGGAGGGAACCTAAAAGATTGAGGGGCTAAGCCTAGATAAAATCGGCCGAGTCGCATCCCGGACTCGATCTTCAATTTTCAGCCGATTCTAGAAATGGGCTCCAAAATTTGATGAGTCACAGCCCTAAGTCCAAATTTTTGAACATTGTATACTAGGAACGGATCTACTACAAGATGGTCCACAGTTGGTCTCAAATTCGCATACTATTCAAGTATGCAACATTCAAGCACGTAACGAGTTCAAGTTATAAAAAACTCAAAACACTCAAGATTGATTAATTCTTAGTTTTGGATACAAAATTAATATGAACAAGGCCATAGGATAGAGAGATCAAATGCAAAAGGAAAGAAGGGAAAGTATGTAAAGCAAACTTACTTCTACTCAAAAGGGAATGCATTGAAACAATATGAGGCAAATAGAAATAAGAAAATAAAAAACTTTTATGGATATTAATTGCAAAAATTTATGCCAAATAATATCCATGATGATAAAAAAAAAACCTTATTTGGATCTGTTTTGGGCACGAGCCTTTCTTTCTAATTTATGCTTTTTTTTTTTTGAAAAATGGGGTTTACACTAAAAATCGCTAACATGTTAAAAAATCACTACTACACACAATAGCGTTACAATCAAGTATCAACACCGTAACAATTCATACGTCCAAACTAATCCTTAACATTTGATCTACGAAGCGGGAGACTGGCTAAACGCTCGCCCAAAATGGCCGGTGCTTACTCAACCGCACCTGCGACTGTGTCCAGACGAAATGGCGGCCCGAGCAGCGGTGCCCTCTCTCCGCCTCGCCTTCCAGCCCCTTGGCCGCGCCTACTTCTCCTCCACCGCCTCGCCCCTGCGCCTCACTATCGGCGATCCTGCTGTCACCACCAGCGGCGTGCGCGCCGAGCTCCATTCGTGGGGGCGCGGCAGCGCTGGCCAGCTGGGTGGTGGCATCGAAGAAATCCGCTATTACCCAACACCTGTTGCCTTTCTCAATCTCCCCACTGACTTTAGCTTGGCCCCCGTTTCGGGTCGGTTGAATTTGTCTTCGGAAGCCTCATTGGTTGAGGCTGGTGTTTCTTGTGGGTTGTTTCACTCGGGTTTGTTGGTGGAGGGGAAGTTGTGGGTTTGGGGGAAAGGGGATGGGGGTAGGCTTGGGCTTGGCTCCGAGATGTCGGCCTATGTGCCGATGTTGAACCCACATTTGGAGTCATTGCGTATGGTTGCTCTTGGGGGCCTTCACTCTACGGCACTTACAATGGAAGGAAGGGTCTTCACATGGTCAGTTGGCCCCTCTCTCTGTGCATAAACTTCATTCACATGTTTTCTCTTGGCCATGGACCTTGATCATATGATAATTGTGGGTACAACTGATTTGATGATACAATATGTTTGATATTATTTCTCTGATAATAATACAAATTTCTTTGATCATCTGTACAAAAATAGTAACTCTGTTATGGAGTTATGCAAAACTTGTACAATGCATATTGTGATCACATGATTTTCATTATGAATGTAGTGGCCTTTGGGATATATGCCACTCCAAATTACTAAGTTTTCTCAAGGAGGATTCAATGATGGGCCCTGGATTTACTTGGAGTCAGCTGCCTTTTCTGCATTTGTTTATGCTACTTGATCAAAGGGAAGCTGTTTTTATATAATAATTGACATGACTAGATCTTTCTTTTAGGTGTTTCATAGTCATTCATCAGTACTAAATTTGCGGTCTGTTTGCTGGAAAATGGTACTCAGCATGAGAAAGATGTATTAGGGAATTAGGGTACCATTATTCTCTAACTGCACTTGTACATTATATCCTTGGCATTTGATACAGGTGATTCTTCTTCCTTTATCCTCTTGATATTTTGCTTTCTTAGAGGTCCCCTATAGCTTCTTGTTAAACATTTTGAACCTTGTAAAAATAAATGAAAGTAGACAAGCTCGTAATCAGTCTTTAATATTTTGCAACTTCCACTCTCCTTTTTTTGGAAATATATAACTGTATCTCACTCAATATGTAAAATTTTGTTTACATTTGAGTTATTCCCATTGGAAAATAGCCCCAAGGTCCATAATCTGTGTACAGAGCTAACTTACAAAATTGTATATGGTCACCCACTTTCTAGAGCTAAAATCCTGAATGGGGATTGTGCAAGTGTTCCTTGTTTTGCAAGCTGGTTTGCTGAAGTGTTCGCTTCTCTCCATATATGATGAAAACTCACATTCAGCGAGCTGATAATGTTAGAAACCTGCTAAAAATGTGCTTGAGACGCCATGGGCAGGTGGTTGATTTGGATGCCCGCAATAATGTTTTCAGAATACCCCTGTATCATCAGGTTGAGGTGCCACCTGCAACCAAATTCCTGCAGGCCTTCAAGCAGGTTACAAGTTTAGCTGTTGTGGAGCAAGCAACTCCAATTGGCCTCCAGAAATAATGAAGCGTTTGCGACAGATTGTCTCAGAAAAGTCCCCCAATTCCAGTGTGCCTTGGTTCCAAGTGAGCACCCTTCAAAGATTAAAGTGATGATCCCTGCTTGCGGTGGAACCCTGAGGCTGGCTCTTGCCGTCCTCATGGGCCCTGAGTGGATGATGTCTTACCAATTTGTTATAAAATTACTATGCGATCTTCTAAACTCCATAGTGTTCCATCCCTAGTATATAACGAGGCTTATGCCTCAGTCTGCAAGCCTTATGATTTGCTAGGTTTCCACTTTAAAGATTCAGTCATTTCTTTCTAGCCATAGGGTCCAAAGTGTCGCCAATGGGAAAGGTCTCCACAGGAAGAACCCCAATGACAGGAGAGGTCGAGAATAACAAGATTTGAATAATTGCTGTACTTATTTGGGCCTCACCCAAACCAAGTCATACAGTCAGGGAGATTCACATTCTATCAGTGAGTGGGCAATGAGTTATGAGGTCATCCACAGTCTCATCTTCTTCTAGGCACATGCTGCATCAGTTGGGCATCTGAATACTCATTCTTTAAAGTTGGTTGCCAGTTAGAATTTTGTTGGAAATAATTAACCATGTAAATGCTTGTATTTTTGGGGGGTGCCTGGCTCCAAGAAGCCCACTTGACCAATGGAGTCTGAACAGGGTCTTGAGTAAGATAGAGGTAGAAGGATGATATTGCAAAAATCCCACGGGCTTTGGGGACCAGATCAATTTCTCCCTTCCTGAATTTGGAAAAAAGTGAGACTCGAGTAATGCAGTAAAGCTGTGTGATCAAAAACCTTCTGATTCCGTGGATTGCTTCTGAAAATGGGGGTCCGAGTTGGCCTCCTGGAAGTTGTATTTGCAACTTCTACTCGTAATGATTGCTCTTCAATCCCTCATGACCTTCATGTAAACTGTTGTCAAGATATCTCTGTTTATCTTAATTGTTTCCTTTTGGTCATTCAATGCAGAAAATGCACCCATAATAAGGCACATCATACATGATCAATTTTAAACTTCTGCTGGACCTTGTAAACTTCCTCTCATCAATTTTCTTCTTGAACACTTCATGGTTGGCCTATTGGTCATAGCTATCTTGAAGGCCATGTGGTGGACACTCTGGCAAAAAGAGTAGCAGATTTGGACTCGGCAATAGTTTTGGAGATAGCTTGGACTCCAGATTTTATTTTTCTGTTGCTTTGGAATGATATATCGAATCAACTCTTTGGTAAGTTCTTGTTGTATTTAAATAATTGTAATTATAGATGAAACTGGTAGCTGATGTTTTTCTCACTGAATTCACCCAGAAAAGATAAAAATTTCTTCATTTTCCTTGACTAATGAAGTAGGCATTGATAGCTAAAATTTGGCTATGAAAATGTTCTTCTGCACATGTAATAGAATGATACTAGCCTTAGCAACTAACTTGACATTGTGTATTTAAGTAATGTTTACAAACTCAAGGTAAACAAACTTGATTCGCTGGAATCAAGTAAAATCTTTAGGTATTGGGCTTCTTAAATCTGTGAAATTCAATTTGAGGAAATTTTCTGAGACAATTCAGGAGAGCCCTTCTTTCTGAACTCACTATCTAATTTCTTGAAGAGACCCCCTACTTTCTCGAAGTCGAGTTCTATTTTCCATGCACATCTTGCCTAGGTGGACCTATATAGTTTCAGGCCTTATTGAGGATCTGTCAGGGTTCATCGGGCACCCTCCATAAATCCATGATCTACTTTAAGTTGACTCTACACATGCAGAGGTATTTAATCTTCCTTTTTATTATGTGGATGAACTATGAATTGGGTGTGGGACAAGGCAGTGCCAGTCTCTCTCTCTCT